CCATTCAAATCTCGATGTTGGGCACCTCTGACAAATCGTTCGCTGTTCATTCCGTACCAGTCGTCTGCAGCGTTTTTATTACATGGTTTTTAGACTAATATGAACCGATCGCGAATGCTTTGGCGGAATGCCAAGAGGAAATTCCTTCAATGTCGACATAAGCTTAAGAGCTTAATCAAGAATGTCCCAAAATCCAGTGTACCTGCTGTCGTCACACTTGATGACGTAGTTATGGAAGAAATCTTAAAAAGACTTGATCTTAGCGAACGAGTTCGAATGAGAGTGGTAGGTTTTGCAAAAATGGTTACTTTTTGTACTTTTTTACCAATTTTATCACTGTGGAACCAGCAATTAGTAATTGTTCTTCAGCTGTCGCGGCGAGTGCATGACATAGTAGATCGGATGCCATTGATATTGCCGTTCATTTTTATACGATCCGATGCACGAGGAAATATCGAGCTTCATTGCGATTATATGGATGTTCTGCTAGGTAAGTTCTTGAGTATTTTTACCTACTGTAAACACAAGAAAAAATGCCAAATTACCACTTAATATTGCTTTTTCTCTCGAAAATTTCTTGCCTTATTTTTCCCCAGATTTAAGACTAACTTCAGACTAAAAAATTGTAATTTTACCAGTTCCCTATCAATTCACTGAATGAAGCGCAGGGGGAAAAAAGGGAAGGAGGTTGAAGGGAGGGAGAGAGGGAGGAGGGGTTAGAGGAAATAAGTGAGCAACTCGATCAAATTCGAAATCCATCATCCTAATTTCACGCTCTATTTCAATTTGCTGACCCCTAACCAAACTACTGTATTTGCCCTTGCACTTTCCACTCATCAGCAAAGTTTACATTTAAAACGAAGACTACGGTATCGCCAATGTTTGATTCCTCCTTGGGAAACTGTCGAAAAATTCTATACAAAAAATTCGATAGAATTTCAAAAATCATTATTTAGCAAAAATTAGCAAAATTTCAGACTATGTGCTAGCTGACATGCAAGGTTTCAAAGTTGTCAATGGTGCTATTGCATTCAATCATACCAATGCCAGAAGCGTGCTCACAGCTATCAGTAAGTTTGTTACTTCGCAATCTCCTGATTCAATATCCTATTGTAAACAAGTTATGACCTGCTTACAGTATCTCGAATAACCGGTGTAACCCATTTATGGTTGGATTCGGCCTGGAATGGACATATCATGCAAACTATAGTTGAATATTACCAAGCAATCAATAGCGGGAGTAAAAGATTAAGGTAATAACAAAGGAAAGGGAACAGCTCAATAAATGCTATCACTCTTGCAAAATTACAAATTAAATTGTGAAT